GTCAAGTCGCAAAACTAGTGCGGTGCACGGCAGGTGCAGGTAAAACTTCGAACGTCTCCGCTTTCCCTCTCCCGGCTTGCGTATTCCGATAGGTCTCCGCCGAATGTTCGTGCGCTCCAGAAACGTGTTGCTCCTGATCGTGGTCATCACACATCGTGGTCGTGGTCAAGTATACACTGTCCAGCCGCACGGCCAAAGGGAGCCGCGGGCCGCGGGGGCAACCAAAGACGAGCAAAAGGAGGGCGGAGGGAGAGCAGCAGCAGCAGCAGGCAGCAGGAAGGAGGAGGGGAAGCATGGGCACGCCCCCGCACGCCCTCGCCTCGCACACCCACCCCACCCCGCACAGCAACACCACGGAGCCGACAATAATCGAATCAGAACACTGAACGAGGGTAAAGTGACACCTTCCCCAGAGATCTTTGCTCTGGTGCCGGCCCTGCCCCGGCCCCGGCCGCGCCGCACCGCGCCGGCCCCCAGGACAGCCCTCGGGGGCGCCGCGCCGCGCCACGCCACGCCCACCGGCAACCGGCCCCGCCCGGGCACCTCAGGGGACGTCTCACTTATATAATAATAACTATGAGCTTGAGCGAGGCGGCCGCGGGGCTGCGAGGGCGTGGCCTGGCGTGGCACGGCGTGGCACGGCGTGGCCCGCGTCCTAGTCCTTCAAAGTTGGTGGCGAGTGTCGTCCCGTGCCGTGCCGTGCCGTGCCGTCACCGGGCAAGAGGGGGTGGGTGAGTTGTGTTGTACCGCCTCAACAGACTGGCAGAGCCGGGGCGGGGCAGGGCAGGGCGCGCAACTCCCAGCTGGCCTTGGTCAAGGCTCTCCTCGAGCCGCGCGCGTTGGACAACAGACGGACACCCCCAAAAGCGAGGCAGACAGTTTGGTTTTCAGCGTCAATAAACGGCAGAGGCCCCTTTATATGTGGTTTTCCATCTCTCTTTTTCTTTATTATTTTTCGGTCCTTCCGCGGAACCGCCTGTGTAAGGCCCGGTTGGTGCGGTGGCCAGCGGTGGCATGTGCTTCTGTCGGCGAGTCTATGCGCGCGAGGCGGGCTGCGCGGCAACATTGAGCCGCGTGAATGGAATATGGAACAATCGGGCACTCGGCGCGGCGCGGGCTGCTTTGCGTTGGTGCGCCCCGCCACGCCCCGCCACGCCCCGCCACGCCCCGCCACGCCCTGCCACGCCCCGCCGTGTCCGGCCCGGCACAATATGTCGTCCTCACGTCTGACCGCCACAGTGGAGGAGGATACCTCTCCGGGCCCGAGCGGGGCGGCAGAGACGGGGTGGGGGCGCGCCGCGGGGCCGCCTACGTGCCTGGGGTTGGGAGGGACAGGGGCGGCTCCCGCCACCTCAGCAGGGGCCCCGGACCGGGCCCGGAGGGGCCCAAGTCGGGCCAGACTCGCTCGACACTGAAACCCGCTTGTTTTCGCTAGTTTAGTTGACGGCGAGCTCCGGGGCTCCGCCCACCCTCCTCCGTGCTGCCCGTCACACACGCACGCACACCGGCCCCACTCACTCAGTCGGCCCCTCACGTTCCCGCAGCAAAGGGCCTAAACCCTCGGACTTGGATACGCCGAGCTTGGGCTTTGTCAGGCCGGCCCGCCCGGCGGCACGGCGGCAGTGCGGAGAGGCAACCGTGATCCGTGCACCCGCTGCGCGGAGAGGATGGGGATGGGGGGAAGGGACCTCTGGGGATTACAGGGATGATCCTCCTCGTGTCGCGTTTATACAACTGCTATGCTAAGGTAATTTTGTTGCTGAAATGTTACCGACAAATTTCAATATTTCTTCTGAAGTCGGTTTTAAAGTTGCAGTTGGGCGTCCACGATGAAAGAACTCGAGAAAGACGTCGACGAACGACGTGCAGGCAGCGAGCCCAATCCCAATCATCAACAGAGTCTCATCGGGAAAGCGCCTACGTCGCCCGTGGAACATCGTTCCCTTTTCAGCGCTACGCCCCCCCCACCATACCACCGCCCCCGGGGCGGGCGCCTTCCTCCTTCCACTGCCACCACCTCCGCCGCCGCCACCACCACCACCGCCGCCAGTTTACCCGCTTGCGATGTTTCCAGCCTCCTTTGCTACCACCCCGCATCAACCAACAGTCGAAAGCCTGAAACGCCGGCACTCGCTCTGAATACAGAGCAGGGGCACGGTACAGCCTTGGATGCCGCGGGGCGTGGCGTGGCGTAGCCGAGCGGGGCGGGACGGGGTGGGATGGGGCTTCCTCCTGCTCGCTTCGACCCCACCCCGCAGGCAGGCCGCTACTCGCCGGGAGCTTCACTGTACACTCCCGACACTCTGCTCTGGCAAACATCATGAGAATGAATTCCAAATCGTTGCAAACATTTCGCAGAGAGACAAAATTGTCCGCGCAGAATTAGAATTTCGGTTGACTAGCTAGCTCATTTTATAAGGTTTGTGACTGCACGAGGCGGCGTCCGAAAACGTGCTGCCGGTGCCGCTCCTCCCAAGATTTCTTGTGTGTTGTCTACTGTAACTCTGCTATATCTAAAGCGATGACGAGGGGCGCCAACGGCTTGCAAGCCAAGCGCGCGCGTGTGTAGAATAGGGGGTGAATGAGGAAGTATGGGGGAGTCACGCCCCCCCCCCTTTCCCAAACCCCTACTCCAAGTTCCACCTCCCTCCCCCCCCCTCCCCCCGGGCAAGTTTTCAAAGTTCTGCACCGCACGTTCTGTGGGTCTATCGGCCCGTTTACTTCCAACAGAAACAAACTGCGAGGCGAGTCAAGTGCGGCATTAGTAACTTTGAGATAAGAGGCGGCGGAACTTGACTGGCAGTATGCGGGGGGCGAGAGGGGGTGACGGGTGTGCGCCTAGCAGCCCCCGACTGCGGGGGGTGGCTTTAGCGGACTAAGAATATCATTTAGATTCGAGGAAGTAGTAAGGCGACAGCAGCAGAACGAACACCGGGAGGCGAGTATGGAGTGGAGGGTGGTACTACAAACGCGTCACCGCTCGGACGGGCTGAGCGTCAGAAAAAAGCTCTCGCTACTCATTCGAGTCAAGAGACACCCCCCCCCCTTTCCCCATGAAGTAATACCCTTCCTGTCAGCCGCACCTTACACCGCACCTGTATATTGCACCGCATGCAGGGTTGCCTGCGGGCACGGGGCCGTGAGCTGCCGTAGGAAGTGGTAAGCGCAGTGACACGCGGTAAAAACAAAGTCTTGCTTTCCATGCAGATTGCTCCGGTTTCCAAGCAGAGAGCCCCCGTCTCCAAGCAGATAGCACCTACTCCAAGCATGCGCGCTCCCGCCTTCAAGGAGATTCGCCGTTTTCAAAGAATAGCCCCCATTCTGCTTGGAAAATGCCACATTTGCTCGGACTGCGAAATCTTTGCTTTGAAACAAAGACGTCGTTTTTGCCATGGCATGATGTGTATGACGAGGTGCAGGGTGCACATGGCTCGTGGCCAGCCCGCCACCATCACCTCACCTGGGTATACAATCAGTTCTTCGGCCCCCAGGTCGACCGGCAGCGAGCGCAAGGGGTGACTGTTACTCCGGGGCCCCGCAGCCCCCTTGCTCCAACGGTTCCACCCCCTCGCCCAGCAGACGACCCTCTCCCACCACCCTCTTGTGGTTGTCCGACCCGGCATATAGTCGCTCCGCGCGCGCTCTGTCGTGAGCACGGCGCGGCACGTAAAAGTCTCTGTCCAACGGGGTAATAACGCCTCCGTCTCACTACCGCGCTTCCCCATATCATAGGAACGTCCCCTACTTGCCGCATAGATGACATGCAGCTTAATCAGAACCGACTATAGATCTATTTTCCAAATAAAAATCCAACAAAGGGCTCGGGCCCCCGAACTTGAGCCGCCAAGAGCCTGCTTTGAGCTCATGCGCGCATAGGCAACGCCTGGCACACAGGCCGTCCCGTTGGACAATCCGGTCGCG